AGCCTGAAAGCGGAGGACACCGCTGTGTATTACTGCGCCAGAGACACAGTGAGGGGAAGTGAATCTGAGCTCAGACAAAAACCTTCCCCTGCAATAACAGTGCAACGTCTCTGCTGCTGAGGGCGCTCACCAGCCCCCGACTGCCAGGGACAGGTGATGAGAGCAGCCCAGAGAAAGTCTCCCAGGCTATAAATAGTTGCAGACCGGTGCAGTTTCATAATCGGTTTAATTCACACCCCCTCCCCGCCTCCCGGAACTCCTCTGTGCCAGAAAGATTTATTCTCTCCCCCCATCCCCACGTTTTTTTCTATTCCAGACACACAAACATAACACTACTGGATGCACTGGGTCCGTCAGGCCCCCGGGAAGGGGCTGGAGTGGGTCGCCCGTATCAGCAGCGGCAGTGGGAGCAGCACATACTGCGGTGATGCAGTCACAGCGCGATTCACCATCTCCAGGGACAGTCCCAACACCCTGCTGTATCTGCAACTGACCGGCCTGAGAGCCGAGGACACCGCCCGGTATCACTGCGCGAGAGACACACCCTGCACACTGAGGGGAAGCCAGTCTGACAAAAACCTCCCGTGGCAGTTACAAGAGAAAGTCCCAGCTGGTTTGATGCTGACAGGCCGCGCGCTGGGAGCTCACAGGAGACAGTAATTTCCTCCCTTTGAAATGGGGAAAATGAACCCGGCTGTTCAGTCAGATCTAGATCTACAGGAGGCGGAGATACCGGGAACAGGGTGTCCCACATTGGGTGTGGGGGGGATTCACTCGATCCCAATTATTCTATTACACACATTGATATGGGTTAAAAGGAATTATTATCTGCCAAAGAGAAATCCAAATAGTCCCATGTTCACCTCTCAGTTCCCGTGTGGGGATAGAAAGCAGGAGAGGTGAAAACACAAACCCAGGCAGCTATAAAAGGGAACAAGGCTGTTCCCCAAATCCCTGTTTGTCAATGCCATAGAGCTGTGCAGTGTCTGTTTATTGATTTATTTGACTCCCTGCCCTATACATTGTCTCACTTCTATTAGCCTCATCAATGAACTGGTCTCCAGCCAGTCTGAGAGCCTAGGACCATGGTGCATTATGGAGCCATCCACCCAACCACCCTCATCGTCTGAGTATCCTTCAGTGTAACTGTCTATGGAACATTCCCTGAGAACATTCTCTCTCTCTCTCTCTCTCTCTCTCTCTCTCTCTCTCTCTCTCTCTCTCTCTC